GTTACAGTTTGCAGGTTATTGCCAGTCCCCTTGAATTCCAGAAAAAATTAGAACGTCTTTATGGTCAGGTATCAAGATACCTAAATCATGCTGATGTCAATAAAAACAGATGGCAAGACTTCTATTGATTTTTTATTAGACTGTTTGATTCATCTCATGTGAATCAACCTAAAAATTGGTCCATCTCATCGGACAAATCAATTCAAAGACTCTTATGTCATTAAACTGACAAATGAAAACTTGATGACGTTTCTGGAATAAATTCCAGTGAAACAATCGATCGAGATATATTTTAATAAAGAAAATGAGTAAATTTAAAAATTCATCAATTGTTCAATTGTTGTGCCATTTCACTGGAAGTTTTCCATGTCTCGATGCCCAATGGAATTCCACTATGAGTTTTTTTTCACGGGGCGTACTCGAAGTGTTGCACAAAATTTGGTTCAGGAAAAATAAGCATTCAGTTTGTTAACTTGATAGCGTGATTGCAAAAAAAATTAAATTGATCATTTGCTACTTGCGTTTGACTTACCGGCTGATCAAAACATTTCTGATACTGATGAGACTTCCTCATTGGGTATTATCATTTTGTCTGTGAACTTCACAAACCTCAAAAAAAAATAAGAAAAAGAGTATCAAGTCATTTACAGAAATTCACTGCAAGTTAAGTTCACATGTTTACCACAAAATTGTAGCCAAATTAAATTCTCATGATAAATATCTGGATGGTTCAGATTGAAGTTTTGCTTCCCAGTAAGATCTCAGCTATATCTCTCGGTTTCTGCTGAAAACGTACAACATCTCGGGCGTACATTTTGTCTAAGTTTTCAGCCAAGGTTGTTTCACGCGTCTGCATGCTGTCTCAAGGAATTTTCTTAGTTTTTTCTATTGGATAGACTCCGTTTTGTTGCATGAACACTGTTTTCATGTAAGCTCTCTATCCAGTTACGGCTTCGAATGGATTGTACTCAATGGCTTAACTTAATGTACTCAACTTTATATGATTCTTCAAAAAAATGTTCAGCCAGGAAGTAAAAACACGGAACCAAGGAGAAAAACTAAGATAAATCCAAATGCAATTGAATTCCAGTTTTGGATAGTGTCATGCACGCAATTTTAAACAGGCCTAGTTTCCTTGTATTAGGCATAAAAGGCGTAACTAAAAGGCATAACTTCTCGCCGATGAAGAGGTTTAAGAATTCTCATTTTCAGAGAAAATTTCTTGAACCTAACAGAGAACCAACATGGATCTCCTAAGTTCAACAGGATCTAAATACATCCGAAAAGGTTATTTTTCTGTCATCAAATTTTAATTTTCGAAGATAATGCATAAGTTTTTTTCGGTCCTTAAATTCCTTCAATTTTGAGTTTAATAAGTTTTGATGATGAGAATTAGCATCAGAAACTCGACCTGTATTGAATTTGATCGATCTCACGAATTCATCCTGAGAAAAAGCTAAGAATGCCATGTAATTTCATTGCCAGGCTATAAGAGTTTCGGCAGCTATTACAAAAAAAAAATATGGTCGCTTATACATCCTTGATCGTTTCGACTTTTTACATTGTGTCATTTCGGACAATCTCACTTTCCTTACCCTTTAATCTGAGGTTACTTCCGAGGTTTTGGCAGCTATCACAAAACCAATATGTGTAACATTCGCCCAAATACTACACAGTGACGCAGCGTAGAAAAAGCACCTATTGACGACTGGCCGGCGTCAGTTACCCAAATTCTACTCGTTTTTCACCGTCTCGACCTAGCCAGTTGATTTTCTGTCTGTTTAGGGCTAAGTAAAAACTACCATTTTTAGGCCATCAGGCAAACGACTTTTGATCAGCTTTCGTTTGCATGCGAGACAACAACATAGCTGGGTCTCGGATCCCCAGACTACGTGATTGCTATTAAAAACACGGCTCGAATATCCTTGTTTACTATGTTTTGACAGTTATTTACTAAATCCATTTTAGATGGATTGACCCTTTCCTCTTCCTAGCTACTCATATTCTAAAATAACAAATGATATCGGGGTTAATTCAAATGTTCAGGACATCAGAGTAGCTAAAAAATTAGTTTATTATAGTCTTTCAACTTACGACAGTCTCTGGGCGCCGGGCCTTCGATTCCGTGCTCTTCAAGAGATAACGTTGATACTTCTTCCACTCCGTGGCACGGGAGGGTACTGATCCTTCCGGCTATCCCACTGAAGCCTCTTTTCTTCCTATCGTCTTCTTCTACACGTCTTATCGTGCGTGATCGTCACGATAAGAGACTCCTTGTTTTTCTTGCTTATTTTCTTGACCGTTCTTCACTTGTTAATTCGGGTGTTTTCTTTATTTGTCAGTTTTCTGCCAAATATGGCCACTTTCTGTATTTCTCAGAAATATTACGCCGCAATTCGAATTTTTGAAAATTTACTTCTAGAATTTTCCGACCCTCCTTTTCATGATCAATTCGTCATTAACAACCTTAATACTGTTTTTCTTGCTCGTCGGAGGGTTCGGCTGTGTCAATCCGGCGGAATGGCACAATGGTCGCATATACGTCAGATCTTTTCGATTCTTCCATGGTGTCATTTCGGACATTTTCACTTTCCTTGCCCTTTCGTCAGACGACGACACGCGATGAGGACATCGATGTTGAGTCCGGGGAGTATGTGCCAGTAGGTCATATTTGGAAGTTTGACCTTAAGCTGAACGTTTAATCTTGACTTTGGGGAGAAAAGTAATTTTTCAAATTTTCGAATTCAGCCTGTCATGCTCAAGTTTCTCGCGACAACTAAAAATACGAAAAAAAGCAATCGGAGGATTTGAGTGAAAATTGCGGGAAAGTTCTGAAAGATACTACAGTAAAATTGCTATTCGCAATTTTACCAGAATTACACGACGCGAGTAGAGCTATCTTGTTCCCGATAGTAAAATCAAGAGTACTGGAAGAGAAAGAGAAGATCAATCGACTGTACCAGAGTGACCCTTGAGTGGAAACGTGGACAGCTGACGTATATGCGAAGCTGCCCAATGGTCCAGATAGAAAAACTTATTCTTGAGTTCAAACTTACTTATTTGAAACTCCTTGAGCTAGAATTAATTGCCCTAAATTAATTCTAGAGTTGCTTTACAACTTAGTTATTCGATTCTAGAGGTCATGTCGGTATGTGAGTACCTCATTTAAATTTCTTAAGTGTGTTTTATGTGATTATGTTGAGTTAGGGCGATTTTTCAATTTGATACATCTGAAATGGATCAAAGGTCCACTATCCAATAAAAACTAACGGTATGCATGAGTTCCGATCCTGTCTTAATGGTGTTCGCGTGTTTTAGGTATTTTGAGACCTGACCATGGGGGCGTTCTAATTTCTAGAGTGTGTGGGGGGGGGGTATTTTGGTAGTAGCCTTAATAATAATAATAACAAAGGATTTAGGACTAATCCAAGGGTTCGCATAAAACCCAGTGATTGGGAGGTTCAACGTTCGTGTTTCAGTTGTTAAAGTTAAGTTTCTTCAAATCTCTACAGTTGTTGCAGCCACATAATATCCGCCAATTGCATGAATCTGACTCGTTGTAGCGGGTTTTGAAGAAATTCGTATAAACTTCCAGCAGTTTAATTTTGCATCCTGGATCAAAGATTATGTCAAATTTGAAGTAATCGTTAAAAAGGTTGGCCAGACGGCAAGCTCGAAACCAGTAATCTGATTCACACTTCTTCAGACGTATTTGTTGGCAGGCAAAATTTCGTGTTGCTTGTGTTCTTCGAGTACCGATGTCTGTGATGGTTACTTGACTACGCCAGTCTATGTCAACTTTTCCGGTTAGTATTTTGGCAAACAAGAGAATAACATGAAGTTCTTGATATAAGGAGATTGGAAGGATATCGAGTTTCACGAGCTTATCCTTATAGGATATGTTGTTTGTGATGAAGATCCATGATACTGCTTTTCGCTGGATACTTTCAAGAGTACCTAAGTCGCCTTTTGATGGTTTCCAAAGGGCTGATCCGTAGTTTAAAATGGGCACAACATAACAGATATATGCGTTCTTTCTGGTCCAAAACGTCGCTTTTGAAAGATTCCGTTTTAGGATGAAGCGAGCGTTCAAGGCTTTTTCGGTCCTTTTCTTTGCATGCAGAGTCCACGAGAGTGTGTCATTTACGAGAATTCCCAGATCTTTCATACATTCAGTTGTTTCAAATTCATGGTTTGGCAGTGCAATAGGAGCTGTACCTTTAATGCAGAGCACTTTACTTTTTCCAAAGTTCATTGACATGAAATTTAAGCTGTAACACGGGTTGTAGTCTCATGTCGCAAGTGAACCGATTTGGCTCCGGCCGCATGACGTAGAAAAACACAAGAGATAGTGTCCCTGACTCTTGAGCCAATGGTTATAGGGCCTATTTCTCTTAGCCTCTTATGTGACTTAAGTAGGCGACTTTTATACCCGGTACGGCTGAAGCGGAAGAGCGAAAAATGACAAGTATAAAGATCTAGTAGATGATGGGTATCTTTTTCAACCACTAGCTTTTGAGATTCAGGGCGCGGCTGGCCCCAGCTCAGAATTTTTTGAGCAAGCTTTGTAAGAACCTAAGCATATGCACTGAGGAACCTAGAGCAGGCAGCTTTTTAAAACAGAATCTCCCTGGTAATACAGATTGCGAACGCCGCTTGCGTACTCGGAACAATAATTGACAAAATAATCTTCGAAATTTTTTATTTGTCACACTTGTATAATACATTTTCTCGTGTCGAGTTCCGTGTTCTTATAGAAAAAACGTAACCCATATCGATTTTAATTGAAAGGACATCAACACTTGACATCTTCTTTTATCATTATCTATCATATCTAGAAAATTCCAAGGATTTTGACTGGAATACGTGATGAAGGGACTCCTGACTGTGACCTCGGTTACTATGATACTTCTGACCTTCTGATTAACTTAAAAGGGTTAAGTTTCACTTTCCGTCGTAATGTGCTTTTCGAGCGAATGTTAAATGCGAAATTGTGTTTCAGATTAGATGTCTGAAATGTCTTGTGGCTGCAAAGCCAGCAGAAGTTGTATCGCATGCTCTCGTGATGGACTCTTACACCTTAAAGAGAAGTCTTTTCAATGTACTTCTGTGAGTGATATGAATTGCTGTTTTTGGTATATGCGAATATCGATCAAAAAAGTCATAATTTGTGTACTCATTTTAGTTTACTTTAGTATACTGTCCAGTTTGCCGAGTTGCTCATCACACTTCATTTCTCTTTGATGACCCCAGTCTTAGCGGAAGTTCTATGGTTAAACAAATTGCAGCTCTCTATCTGTTATCGCAAACTGAGAAACGATGTATTCTTGAAAAAGAAGTAAAAATTGAGGTCTTCAAAAATGAGTCGAAGGACATCGAAGTTAGCGGAATTACCGTTGGATGCTACTTTTTGAGCCAAGAAGAAGAATTATCAATAATTGAGCAAATTGAAGGTTTCGATTGGAAGCAATCACAATCTGGAAGACTGAAACAGGTTTCAATCTTTTTCTTGCTATCGGTTCAAAACTTAGTCCTGCCCAATGTATCGGAAACTGCTTGATTCTCATAAAATTAATGTTTCTCTAGCATGCTTTCATTTCGAAAACTTTGCCGACCTTTTTTTAAGTCGACTAAACTCATTTTTCCACCACTCCTATAACGCTCTAAACAATAATGTTAACGTTGTAGAAATGGATTTATTTCAATTAGGAAACAATATAATCAAAGAATTTTTCGTAACTGAGTTGAAATAACGTTTTCAGCAGTTAATTTTTTTGTAGCTCCTGAACATCTGAGCGCCTTATTAAGTTCCCGGTATTTTGGTGAAAATTGCGTATCTGTGCTTGTTTTTGACGGCAGTCATTGTTTTCAACACAGTTTTTACCATTGCAAGGTTATTGCAACCGGGTACTCTTTTTCCCCATAAAAGACTCCGTTCACAGAGTTCGCTTATCAACTTTCGCAGATTTCTTTCAAACGTACGTGTTGAATAATTTTGCTTATTTGGTCTGGAGGCAATTTCGATTCTTGGGACGCCACGGGATTCAGATTTTAATCCGCACCGGCAGGTTTTAGCGGGTTTTCACCTTTCAACCCACCCATTCTCTTTTTGCCAACAAGTGATATTTAGGATTTGTCGCCGATTTTTTTAAACTGAAAATTTGATCATTACGATTCAATTTCCGTTCATAGGTTGTAGGTGCAAAAAAAATCAATTAATAGGGGCCCTTCGTCATACGACGGTCGGTACACACTTTTGATAATGTTATAACACCGCCATATGAACAGGGGTTGGCAATAAATAATTGTTGGAAAAATTATTGACAATAAATAAATAACAATAAGTGATTTTTAGGACTGGGCAATAACAATATTTGTTTTTTTTTTGCTGAATAATCGGAAACAGCGAGATTAAATGCGGAGTGTTAAGTCGTTACTCATCTATAACCAACCAGTATTCACTGAGTAAACGTTTTACCTTAGCCTGATTTTACCAATAAAGATATTGTTCGTCGTTTTTTCTCTTTTTTTTTCATGTCGTGCGTCCTGGATGCAGAGAATCTTTTGTTTTTCGGTTAGTTTTTCCGCAAGTTTTTAAATGGTTCCAGTTGCGCTCCGTGTTGCTCTTCTCGTGCTGGAAAAAAGATAATGGCAGATAAGCTATGCTCGACTTCGAGTATTTGTTTTTTATGATGCTCTCGTGGTACTTTTAGGCGTCTATGATTTTTGGGCATGGCGGCCCAAGTGAGTTCAAGGTTTTAACATCAAAGAACGGTCGGCTGAATAATCTCACCACGAGTCCATTTGATTTAATATTAAGTCTGGTCTCATCTTCAGTTGAATTTGTCATGTGAAATTTTTGCCTTTCAACGGCTGAAATTTCGGCTCTGTCTCGACATCGAAGCAGACCTCTTTTATCGGGTCCCGTATTTTGTGAAGCCAAAGCTGGTTATCTCTAACTTTGGGACAGCGAAAGTAATGAATCAGGTAAAAGTTTAATCCATGCAGGCAGATGTGTGGGTTGTTTGATGTCTTTTTCCGATAAGGTTTGGTTTGAAGGATTGTCTTTGTTTCAGTTAAGCAAAATTATTCCAGCTGCGGTTCCAGAAAAAAAATCAATGATAATTGCGCTTAAATGCGTTTCATCAATAATGTTTGAGAACACTACAGTGGATTATTTTGAAAGGACTGGTCAGAACAATAAACAAAATAAAAACTTTCGGAGTTTCCATTTTGTTTTTAATTTTGATATCTGACGCCCTTGCCTTACACAGCAAAGTATATTTTCCCAAAAAAAGATCGAATTAAGCATTTTCGAAACAGTTCTTTCTGAGGGATTTTTATTATTTTTTCCGTATCCATTCCAGTGAACGATAAATAGTCGCGCGATTTTAATTAAGTGTCCAGTTATTTGTTCATTTTAATCGATTGTGTTCACTCTGCATTCTGATTGGTTGCTCCTGCGGTTTGGTAGATTCATTGCCCAGACAAGCCTAGTTCGTAGAATTCATCAGCTTACGTTATTAGTATTTCAAGTTTCCATTAATCTTTTGACGGCTGAGCTGAGAGGTAACGCCCATGCTTGGAATGGCTCAGTTCTGGCGTGGGTTTGAGTCCGACGAGGAGCCCAAATTATTGGAAATTAAAAATGGAAATAGAATAGTTGTCATTTGTCTGTTTAATTTTGACGGCTAGTTTTTCGCAGCCTGGATTTTCTTTTGATTTAAGTATAATTGAAAGTCATTTTGTTTTCTTCCTATAATGGTGCGGTTTATTAAGCTTCATGAAATTTGCCCATTTTGTAATTTTCTATCCGAAGGATGATTTGAACAATTTTTTCGTTTCATTTTGTCATAAAGAAGCAAAGAATAAAGCCTCATTTTTGTAATATATTTTAAATTATTAGACAAGCGAGAGTTGTGGTCTATTACGATTTTTCCCCAATTTTGCTCATTTTGGGGACTTTCCTTTTTTATCAGAGTTGCGCCACATCGGTAGTGATGGTGCGCAGCAATCATATGCTTTCGGGTTCAAATCGCACGTGCCCTGCAATTCACAAGGTTAGCTCTTGTAAGATAGCCTTAGTTCACCTTTTAAAGTTAACCTTCGGGTTAGGCCTCTGGCTGGTTAATTAAAAAATAGTATTGGCAGTTTAAAAGCACATTTGTTCTCTGTTTTATGACTAACTAGTGTTTTGGTTCTTCCAGCACAAGTGTGTAGGGCAGTCGACTTGAATGCGTTGAGGGATTTTTTTTCAAAATTATTTTGCTTTTTAAAAGCTACTTGACGTTTTGTCGCTTGTATCTGCAAAGTGCCGCTTTGCCCCTGTGTGAATGTATCTGATACTATATTGTGGCAGAAAAAAAATTATTTTCCGTTTGTTTACTATTCAATCGTCGCCTGTCTTTGGAGTTTGTCAAATGGGCTTTCGTGATTAAATATGGAGAATAGGTTGATCATTGTTAGTACGTAGAAGAGCAGTAGCGGATTTAGGGGGCGGACGCTCCCCCCGTCAGGGATTCGACCCCCTGCCGACCCAAAGGGTCCCCGGTTGCACTATTTTGAGATTCAATTTTTGGCTGGCTGACCCATAGGCGCCAATATATACTAATTTTGAGGGGGGAGCGCGCGATTTTTTGGTCATTTTATTCCAAGAGTGGCTAAACACGCCTTTTTTGGCCTGTTATTTTTTTAAAAAATTTGCTTGCAGCGCAGAAAAGTTGGTCAAAATGGGGTCTTTATAGTGATTTGGGAGAGCTCAGAAAACCAATTTGGTCGACCTTAAAAAAAGGCCGACAAAATGTTCTTTTTTTTTTGAAAATCCACCCCCCCCCCCCCCCTCTTAAGAAAATCTTAGATCCGTGCCTGGAGAATAGGTTGATGGAGATCATTGTTAGTCTAAAGTCCTAAAAATTTCTGAAAAACAGGAAACATGTTGCGGTATTTTTTCCAATAGTCATCGCTAATAAAATAAGTTTTCTGTGAACGTGAGGCTGGGGTGCTTCGCTTGAGGATTGAAGTTTGTTTACTTTTTAGGACTTCGGACCAAAACCGAATTTCAAAAAGAAGAAATTGCGCCTTGAAACATTCACAGGTCTCCCTGCGTTTTCCCAAGGGATTCTGAGACGCTTACGTGACATGCCGGGAAATGAGCTGTCTGACTTTGAAGCTGTGGAGCAGTGTCATCTCGATTACAATGTATCTCGGGGGTCCCACATTGACATGCACTTTGATGACTTCTGGCTGTGGGGCGACCGACTGGTGACCTTGAATCTACTCAGCCACTCTATTATATCACTCACTCATCCACAACTGCCATATACGGTAAGAATTCCCTGTTCTACTTTCAAGGTGCCCGGGATGACCAAAAATACTAGTCATACAATTTCCATATATGGAAAAATGCTAGTCATACACTTTCCATGCAATTCCATACGTACAGAAAATTGCATGAAAGGTCTATGATTAGTATTTTTTTCATATATGGAAATTGTATAACTAGCATTTTTCCATAAACCAAAAATATTGATTTTTTACATTTTAATTTCTCAAAATTTTTTGGCTGTGCTCGTAACCGAACACAAATGACATAAACCTTGATTACTCAAACGTAGTTAGTAACCAACGGTTTGGCCGTCTCACATTAACAATGCATTGGAAACAGCCTGATATGTCTTACTTCTGTCTCAGACAATTAACATAACGAAAGTAGTGAACTTTTAAGTTTTGGCAATAATTTTCAAAGATGATTATTTCTAAAATTTGAATGTTTAAATTACCAGACATTTATCAAGGCATACAAAAACATGTCACACAAAAGAAAGAGGAGTGTTAAGCGTTTTTGAAAAAAGTTACGAAGAGAAAAGGAAAAAAAAATCCAATATTAGAAAATACGAAAATCAATTTGCAGTTGAAAAAAAAACACAAAAAAATTTGGCGGCAATTTCAAAAATACTTAGAAAAATTTTTGTCGTCGCCATCAAAAAAATGCTAGTCATACAATTTCCATATATAGAAATTGTATGACTAGTGTTTTTTTTCAGAAAAAAAAATAAAAAAAGTCAAAGTTTTCAGTCGTAGCAGCCCAAAAAATGCTTAAATGTTTTGCAAGCAGTGGAATTGATTGTTCAAAGCTTTTTTTTCACAAAAAAAAATTAAAAAAAAATTCTAATCATACAATTTCCATATATGGAAATTGTATGGGTAGCATTTTTTTCATACCATTTTTTTTCCTTTTTTTATGAAAAGATACCAATTTCGATACCAAAACAACTATAAAACACCTTTGAAATTCGATTAAATTCATTTTGCAAAAATGTATGAAATTTGTATGACCAGCATTTTTCCATAGACTAAGTGTATGAAATTGTATGATTAGCGTTTTCGGTCTATGGAGGTCAACCCGGGTGTTAAAGCAGCAGTATAATTCGACAGATTTTATGGAAGTTTCTGAGCGAATAATGCTTTCAGCGATCGGCTTTACTAATATTAATTACAATTACGTATTTAGAAATTTCAGATGGATGCATTCCGGAAAATATTGTATTAGGACTTTTTGTTCAAATTACGCCAGATATTCCAGCCGATTTAAAATAGAGACGTTTCAGCGGACTTTTGTTTGAGATATTTGAAATATGTGGACTATCTATAGAAATATAAAGACAATCTATTTTAGTGACAAGCACGGATTCTCACGCACTATTTCTCTCGTGCCGGATATAAGTGTAGGGGGGGAGGCTGGCGGATTTTTAAAAAAATTTTGAAATTGTATCAACCTTTTTTTAGGTCGACCAAATTGATTTTCCCAGCTCTCCCAAAGTTTTGAAAAACAGGCCCAAAAAAGCGTTTTAAGGCACTTGAAAAAGTTTAACCAAAAAATCGCGTTTTTTCGGCGTGTGCTCCCTCTTAAAGTTAATATATAGTGGCTTATTTTTCTTTAATTTTTTTCCTTAAATTTCCGGTTGCACTTTTGCGATCGATAAGATTCTGGTACCACTTTATGAATTTCTAGAGTGAAGCCCACTAGAACTTCTTTGAAAAACTTTCATAAATTTAAATACAAAAAAGTAAATATACCGAAGTGACTTGATTTTTTTTGGCTGAAATGTCCTTTGCCGAAATGCTGTATCTAGAACTCATACCATTGTATGATGGGGCGGATCTAGGTCGGGGGGGGGGGGGGGGGAGGATCTCCCAATATTGCTTTGGGAGAGCTGTTTTTCCGAGAGCTCTCCCAAAGCAATATTTATTAAGAGTCGATGAACGTATTTCAGATTCTTATATAGGTCGTGATGATTTTTTCGTCTTTTTTTCAGGAAAAGCCTTATAATTTGTTCACGCTCATTTTTTTTGGTTTGACTTTGGGTTTCTTTTCAACTTCAATTTATTTTTTGTTGTTAAAACGAAGGCAATTTCCGCTATCGAGCACCCAAACTGAAAAGATCGCGAAAAACGTGATTGACTTCTAATTTCGACGTGTGCTTCCGCCTTAAAGTTACTATATAGTGGCTTATTTACTTAATTTTTTTTCCTTAAATGTCCGGTTAAACTTTTGAGATCTATAAGATTCTGGTACCATGAATTTCCAGAGTCCAGCCCACCAGAACTTCTTTGAAAAACTTTCCTAAATACAAACACAAAAAAGTAATTATACCGAAATGACTTGATTTTTTTTGGCTGAAATGTCTTTTTCCGAAATGCTATTTCTAGAACTCATACCATTGTATGCTGGGGCGGATCTAGGTTTTTCTCGGGGGGGGGGGGGGGGGGGGATTTTTTAAAAAAAAAATCGAAATTTTATTGACCATTTCTTTTGGGTCGACCAAATTGATTTTCCGAGCTCTCTCAAAGCAATATTTATTAAGAGTCGATGAACGTATTTCAGATTCTTATATAGGTCGTGATGATTTTTTTTGTCTTTTTTTTTCAGGAAAAGCCTTATAATTTGTTCACGCTCAATTTTTTTGGTTTGACTTTGGGTTTCTTTTCAAGTTCAATTCATTTTTTGTTGTTAAAACGAAGGCAAACTCCACTATCAAGCACCCAAACTGAAAAGATCGCGAAAAACGTAATTGACTTCTAATTTCGAAAGTAGTTTTTAATTTTCCGATTTCCCAGCGGAATAAAATTTTTACCTCTTGCGTTAAATTTTTTCTCAAATTGTTTTAATTTTATCAATCATAAATTGATCTGGAAAATCAAAGAGCTGTATGACCATCTATTTTTTCTTGGAAACTCGAAAGTTGAGACATTTTCAAGAAAGTCACTATTTTCTGTTCAGTTTACTTGAGTTTTATTGTCTCTTTTTCAACTGTGTCTTGGCTATGAGTTTTTTTTTTTCGTTTTTCCACTAACTTCTGGCTCTTTTCCACTCCCCTATTTTTGCATTTCGGTATTGAAAAGCTAATTTTGCGTTGTCTTATTGTTTAAATGGCGAACAAACTAATTATTATGAACATATTTATTCTTCATACCTTACATCGTAACCTTACGCATTCAGCCATAATGACACAAGACAACTGATAAATTGGAAAATTTAAAATGTGGATGTGGCGAAAGTGGAAAAGAGCCTTCCTTCTCTATTTCAGCGATCAGCGTAGTGTTTAGTACGAACCTTCTTTTTTCTAGCCTAACTCGCAAATAAAAGTGTTCACTTATTTCACCTATGCTATAATCACGATCTGTAACATTGGAAATTTCATAGCATCTGTTCTCTGCTTTTATTTGTGGCTAGTTTTTGTGATGTATCAAGCTTCCGATGCTGAGTGGTTAGTGCATGCGACTCAATATCGCTAGGTCGCTGATCGAATCCGAGACGTAGCCAAATTTTTACTTTCTAAATGCACTTTATAGAGCTGATTTTTTTCGTTTTCTCGCTTGTGTTTGCGAAGCGAAGCTTCGCCTCTGTGTCGAATGTAACATCGTTCAAAGTTCTGTTTGCTAATTTTCGAGCGCCATGGTGCTTTCATTCTCTAATTGTTGTATCGCAAGTGGTGCGAAGCTCAGCTTCGTCTCTGAGTATCAGATATGAGTTTTGGGTATCGAAATGGTGTGGATCAAATTTTTTCAACGCTTTCATTTGTTTCTTGAATGTGTTTGGATAGCGTTGTGAAGTTTAAGGGATTAGAATTTAAATCAGACAATGCATTCATGCGTGTGTAATATTTTTTCCGTTTTCTTTCGATTTATTCGAAAATTGAAGCTTTTTTGTTTAGATTCTCATTGGGCAACCCAGACTATCAGTTGTAGTTCTGTCAAAGGAGGCTAGAAATGAGTGGTTTCATGGCATATATCCAAATCATATCATTGACCGAAGAGTAGCCATCACTTACCGAGAATTAACAGACGAAATGAAAAGCACAGATGTGGGCTTGAAAGTGACCAAGATTGCTTCCAATTTCACGGCTGTACAAACTTCATCCTGACTGTCTTCATTTTGTATCATACGAAAAGAATTTTATCATCCTTATTTTGATTTATCGTAGTCGATTAGGAATTGAGTGTTTACAAAAAAAATTTTCATAATCTAATGATCTGTTTTTTGTTTCTATGATATGAGAAACTGCGATTCATGCTACAGTTTGTACACAAGAAAGCAGGGTGCAAATCTAACAATTTCTCAAAGGATGGTCGTTTAGAAGCAAGTCTAAAAATATCTTCAACCTTTTGGTTCTTTGATCATCGGCTCTCCTTACCGGCAAAATCATACTTTGCGTGAACTGCCAAGTTTCAAATGAGTAGGGCAATGTTAACAGGAGTTTCATTTGGTTACAATCTTAATTGGGAGGCGATAAAAGAGCCGACATTTCACAGTTCGGCTTAAGTTGGTTTCTAAGCTCTCTTGTTCTTTTGTTCTCTGTTTTTACACAAGTAAAGCTTGTGTGATAGTATAACCTTTTTTTTTTAACCTAAGTAGCAAATATTGTTGCGATGCAATTATCGTTGAAAGAAAATAAGTTCATTTTGAAAGTGTTCATTTTGATCAATCACCAGCTATTAAGAGTAATGTAGTGAGAACTCTTTGTTTTTTTTTTTTTTTCAGGAAAAAGTCTAAAAATTTGTTCACGCTCAATTTAGATTTTTCGCGGTTTGATTTGTGATTTCTTTTAAAGTTCAGTGCTTTTCCATTGTTAAAAGGAAAAAACTCCACTATCGAACAGCAATTTTTTCTTCGAAACTCAAAAGTTGAAGATATTTAAAAAAATCGTTTTTTTTTAGTTTTCTTGCGTTCATTACTCTTTTCCAACTGTAAGTTGGCTGTGTTTAGGAACAGCTAATGCGAAGGATACTAACACAGACTATTATAGTACAAATTTTAGCTTCAACGTATCATGGATCTGTTGCGTAAAGGTAGGGAAGGAGACTCTCATCAAAATAAAAGGGTTCGAACCTGGGCAGGGTCTGATTTTTAAATGAACTTCTTCGTTTACTAGTTAAAAAACTTCCGCTCTTCAAATTGAGGCATGTTAGTTGGTTGATATCTTTTTTTTCTAATTGACTGGTATTGCTAATGCGTCATATTTGGCTTGCGTCACTTAGTAATTTTGTAGACTCATAATTGGCGTGCGTCGCTGAAGTTTTTTAGACTCAAAGTCCAGAAAAGTTTAAAATTATCAACCCTGTAGTCGGGTGCTTTAGAGGTACTCTCAGGGATTGCAAGTTGTACCCTCAAAGGCGACTGCTCAAATGCCTTTAATATGACGTTTTTTTCAATATTTCTCTAAATTTTTCTAAAGAACTTGTATTAAAATGAAACGTTTCATAATTTGAATTTCCCAACCCTACAATGGGGCGGTAACTGGGTACTCTCAGGTTTTTTAATTCTAGCCTCCAAGTTTGATTGCTCTGATCATCTTAGTTTCTGAGATATGCCGTTTGTAATGCTTTTGCAAAATTTTTCTTAGAACTTAAGATCCAAAATAAAATCGAAATACTCAACACTAGTTTGAAATACTCAACACTATGGCGAGGTGCTCTGAAGGTACTCTCAGGTGGGTTGCCTGGACTTCAATTATGACTGCTCAACTAAAAGACTCTTATATAGGTCTTGCTTGATCCAGTTGTCTCAAGTTTCGTTAAGGTTATCAAAAAAGCGCCAATCATAAATCGTTTTAGAGATTCAAAGAGCTAGAAGGGTATCTATTTTTTCTAGATAATTCGAAAGTTGAGATTTTTTCAACTAAGTCAGTGTTTTTTTTAATGTTTACTTGCGATCATTACTCGTTACCCTTCCAATCTTCGATTGGCTATGTTTTTATGGTTGCATTCGTTTCGCTATCTAGCTTACATATTTTTTATGTATCAGCAGCTTTTTATGTTCATTAATCTGTTTGAAGCACCGGAAGTGCGTTACACGCTAGTTTTTTTATCAGCTCAGAATTTTTTAGGCATGAAGAATTTCTGCTTAGGTATTTTCGGCTTTGTAACCGTTTGGTAATTAAAATTCAAGTTCAATCAACCATCCTTCGAATTTGGCGTAGAGTTAGCACAACTGCGGGAGACGTCAAAGGCCTGTGGTTCGAATACGGTCGGGATCTGTGTTTTGTTTTGCGAACCAGAGTTTTTGTGCTTTTTCGTTTGTTATTGCTTTCCGTCGGTTTGTTAGTTGGCTTAGTTCCTGTAGCCCGAGTTTTTTTGAGGGTTCGGCTTTTTGAGGGTTTGGAAAGATATTTCACCTGTGATCATTTTTCGTAAAGTTATGGGGGTTTAAAAGTTGCCAATTTGGGACAATGAACGCGCGATATATTTGACGCTATTAACGCGTGAGCTGAGATTTAATCCGAGAACTCGTTTCATAATTGATTTGTTACTGGGAGCGAAGTTAATCACTTTGTACTTAATATGGCGTGTGGGTGATGATTTTCACAAAAAATCTCAAATTAAAAAAACATCATTTTCATTTTAATATATTTAATTTTTTCACGTTATTACTGATCCATAGACTGCTGCATTAATTGAGGCATGTTAGTTGGTAAATTTGTTTTTTTTTAATCAAATTGACTGGTAGTGCTAATGCGTCATAATTGGCCTGCGTCACTTAAGAAATTTTGCAGACTCAATTTTTACTCATTCAGTTTTTCCCAGTAGCGTTATCGGTCATATTTTTGCTTGTGTATGCCAAGTGCAACTTCGCATCTGTGTTAATATTTGATATTATTTGGACTTGTAGCATGTTTTGTTTTGTAACTGGCAGAAGAATTCACAACGGATGGGGTTGACATTTGCCGATGAGCATACAGTGAAAGTTTTTCAGATGAATATAACTTGGACTCAGGGGATTCCATTATTTCAATTTGTCAATTTTTGTCCCTATAGCACATTGCTCAGTTGCAAAATCCGTTGATTATCTTATTTCAAACAAAAGAAACGCTTGTGGAAGTAAGCTCAAGGAACCTAGTGACGACACTTATTTTGGCGGTGAGTTAAGAGTTGATGAACATAATTTGGACTCTTATATAGGTCGTGATATATTTTTTTCGTGGTTTCAGATTTGATTTTTTTGTTCTCTTCCTTGGATAAAAAAAAAGGAAGTCACACTCCACTACGGAACAGAAAAAGTGTACAGTGTCTCGAAAACGTGATGGAACTCTAGTTTTGAACGTGGAATTTGTTATTCAGATTTCCCAGCGGAATAAAAACTATTTTATTGATCCAGTTTTTGCAAATTGGGTTAATTTGATCAAAAAGGTGTCCATCATAAATTGTTCAGGAAATTCAAAGAGCTTTAAGGCCATCTATTTTTTGCTTTTTAATTCGAAAGTTGAAGTTGTTGCAAAAAACGACCGCTTCTCTTTTCTGTTTCTTTGCGTTCATTTACTCTTTTCAAACTCTGTTGACAATGTTTTTTTTTACTCTTGCGAAAACAAGTGTCTTGTAATCGGGAACTAGTTTTTTTCTCGATTACAACTTTTCTTACAAATTTTAAGTTTGCTTTCTTTATTGAATCTTAACAACTTCCAAATTCCTTTATATTGGCCTAGGTAAAATTTGGTAAAATTTGATTTTTCCTACTTACGTTTAGCTGCTCAAATGTTAACGGCATAGTTGCAGCGTTGCGGATTTTTCTTGCGCTGTAAGCAAGTATCATTGTAGTTGCGAGTTTTGTTCATTGAGCTTCAGGGGGGGGCCGAACTTTAATTTTTTTATTATAAAATAAGTTTTTTCTGCTCAACTTGTGTCTGCTCTAAGATTGTCAGCTTTGTTTCCGCTTATTTTTTTGTTGTTGACAGTTTATAATTCATTTGTATTGTCTAGATTTTTGTCTGATAAAAACAAGTATTATGAAAATGTATGGGATTGGGTTTTTTAAAGCAAAATTTCAGTTTTTCTCAAAAACTGTTCAAGTTTTTTTTTCGAAAAAAGGTGTCAATGGAAAGAAAAATTAATCCGCTGTGTGCTTACATACTCCCCTAGCAGGCCTCCATTTAGCCTATGAAGGAAAGTTCAAAAAAAATTTTAAGGAAAGCCTTCTTTTCGGAAGAGTTTTTTGTAAAGAGTTTTTTTTGTAACTTTTCGTGTTCAACCTTGTGATAAGCAAAGGTATTGCAATCGGGTCCTAGATTTTTTCCCGAAGATTTTTTGTAGAAATAGCGAATTTAACTTCTGACATGCTCAAATTTTTGAAGTAATAAGTAATTTTTGACTACCATAATTAAGTAGTAATAAGGTAAAAATTGTTTCAGATAGTAATTAATTTTTCAAAAAGTTTCTCCAATTTGTTTTGTGTGTTCGTGGTTTTCATTCTAGTTTCTATCGGTTTATTTTGCGGTTTAAGGGTTTTTAAAAATTCATAAAATTTTTCATGTCAACAGTTTTGTTTTCGGCTCAACAGGTTTCGACACGAAATTTGTCGACCTTGCTGACGGTCGGTGAGTGATTTCCAATTGTTTTTAAGGCATTTGTTGAACTTCATCCGATACAAGTAAGAAGTTTTTGTAGCTGTAGTTTTTCCAACTCTTTCAAGTTTTATTTTCAAGTATTTTTTTGGCTGTTTTGTTCTGCCACAGGTGTTCATCAAAATGAGTTTCAGTTTGAAAGAAGAGCATTAAAAAATTTCGTTTTTTAGGCGATTTGTTTTCTTTTACGAGTCGGTGGCTTGGTACATCGCAATTGGTGCGAAGCTCAGCTTCGCCTCTGTGTTTCACCTTTGCGATAAGCAAGGATATTGCATTCGGGTATTAGACTTTTTTCTCGTAAATAACTTTGACTCTTCTCCTGAACTCTTTCATGTACTGGGCCTTTCTGTTGCAACAGGCATGTTTTGAGCACGATATCATTTTAGGTATCCGGCCTATTCGAATTTTGCTTTTTTGTTGGTGATAATTTTATCAACTCAATTTAATAAAATTTCATTTTTTCGATTTTTTTTCTCTTTTCGGCTTAATTAGTGTCGGCTATTTTTATTTCGACTCGGTGGCCTCTTATTGCATCGTTTGATAACCGAAAAAAGTTTTTATGTGCATGTGTGTTCTGAGGGGAAGGTGAG